GAGACTTAGACCTGAGTGCAAAAATGGAGGCCTCTAGCCCCTTCCAGAGCTGAGATATCGAAACTCAAAAATTGGGCCCGAAAAAAAAACGACAGTGGTACCCCTTACGTTTTTTTTTTTTGCGGCGAAAAAATTAGTTTCTCCAATCTTCCCAAAACTCTGGATTCTGATAGAGGGCCATGAGACTTAGACCTGAGTGCAAAAATGGAGGCTCTAGCCCCTTCCAGAGCTGAGATATCGAAACTCAAAAATTCGGCCGAAAAAAAAAAACGACAGTGGTACCCCTTACGTTTTTTTTTTGGGCGAAAAATTAAGTTTCTCCAATCTTCCCAAAACTCTGGATTCTGATAGAGGGCCATGAGACTTAGACCTGAGTGCAAAAATGGAGGCTCTAGCCCCTTCCAGAGCTGAGATATCGAAACTCAAAATTCGGCCCGAAAAAAAAAACGACAGTGGTACCCCTTACGTTTTTTTTTTTTGGGCGAAAATTAAGTTTCTCCAATCTTCCCAAAACTCTGGATTCTGATAGAGGGCCATGAGACTTAGACCTGAGTGCAAAAATGGAGGCTCTAGCCCCTTCCAGAGCTGAGATATCGAAACTCAAAAATTCGGCCCGAAAAAAAAACGACAGTGGTACCCCTTACGTTTTTTTTTTTTGGGCGAAAAATTAAGTTTCTCCAATCTTCCCAAAACTCTGGATTCTGATAGAGGGCCATGAGACTTAGACCTGAGTGCAAAAATGGAGGCTCTAGCCCCTTCCAGAGCTGAGATATCGAAACTCAAAAATTCGGCCCGAAAAAAAAAACGACAGTGGTACCCCTTACGTTTTTTTTTTGGGCGAAAAATTAAGTTTCTCCAATCTTCCCAAAACTCTGGATTCTGATAGAGGGCCATGAGACTTAGACCTGAGTGCAAAAATGGAGGCTCTAGCCCCTTCCAGAGCTGAGATATCGAAACTCAAAAATTGGGCCGAAAAAAAAAACGACAGTGGTACCCCTTACGTTTTTTTTTTTTTGGGCGAAAAATTAAGTTTCTCCAATCTTCCCAAAACTCTGGATTCTGATAGAGGGCATGAGACTTAGACCTGAGTGCAAAAATGGAGGCTCTAGCCCCTTCCAGAGCTGAGATATCGAAACTCAAAAATTCGGCCCGAAAAAAAAAACGACAGTGGTACCCCTTACGTTTTTTTTTTTTGGGCGAAAAATTAAGTTTCTCCAATCTTCCCAAAACTCTGGATTCTGATAGAGGGCCATGAGACTTAGACCTGAGTGCAAAAATGGAGGCTCTAGCCCCTTCCAGAGCTGAGATATCGAAACTCAAAAATTCGGCCCGAAAAAAAAACGACAGTGGTACCCCTTACGTTTTTTTTTTTTTTGGGCGAAAAATTAAGTTTCTCCAATCTTCCCAAAACTCTGGATTCTGATAGAGGGCCATGAGACTTAGACCTGAGTGCAAAAATGGAGGCTCTAGCCCTTCCAGAGCTGAGATATCGAAACTCAAAAATTCGGCCCGAAAAAAAACGACAGTGGTACCCCTTACGTTTTTTTTTTTGGGCGAAAAATTAAGTTTCTCCAATCTTCCCAAAACTCTGGATTCTGATAGAGGGCCATGAGACTTAGACCTGAGTGCAAAAATGGAGGCTCTAGCCCCTTCCAGAGCTGAGATATCGAAACTCAAAAATTGGGCCCGAAAAAAAAAACGACAGTGGTACCCCTTATGTTTTTTTTGGGCGAAAAATTAAGTTTCTCCAATCTCCCCAAAACTCTGGATTCTCTGGAAGGGGCTAGAGCCTCCATTTTTGCACTCAGGTCTAAGTCTCATGGCCCTCTATCAGAATCCAGAGTTTTGGGAAGATTGGACAAACTTAATTTTTCGCCCAAAAAAAAAAAACGTAAGGGGTACCACTGTCGTTTTTTTTTTCGGGCCCAATTTTGAGTTTCGATATCTCAGCTCTGGAAGGGCTAGAGCCTCCATTTTTGCACTCAGGTCTAAGTCTCATGGCCCTCTATCAGAATCCAGAGTTTTGGAAGATTGGATAAACTTAATTTTTTCGCCCAAAAAAAAAAACGTAAGGGGTACCACTGTCGTTTTTTTTTTCGGGCCGAATTTTTGAGTTTCGATATCTCAGCTCTGGAAGGGATAGAGCCTCCATTTTTGCACTCAGGTCTAAGTCTCATGGCCTCTATCAGAATCCAGAGTTTTGGAAGATTGGAGAAACTTAATTTTTCGCCCAAAAAAAAAAAACGTAAGGGGTACCACTGTCGTTTTTTTTTTTCGGGCCCAATTTTTGAGTTTCGATATCTCAGCTCTGGAAGGCTAGAGCCTCCATTTTTGCACTCAGTCTAAGTCGCATGGCCCTCTATCAGAATCCAGAGTTTTGGGAAGATTGGAGAAACTTAATTTTTCGCCCAAAAAAAAAAAAAACGTAAGGGGTACCACTGTCGTTTTTTTTTTCGGGCCGAATTTTTGAGTTTCGATATCTCAGCTCTGGAAGGGATAGAGCCTCCATTTTTGCACTCAGGTCTAAGTCTCATGGCCCTCTATCAGAATCCAGAGTTTTGGAAGATTGGAGAAACTTAATTTTTCGCCCAAAAAAAACGTAAGGGTACACTGTCGTTTTTTTTTTCGGGCCCAATTTTTGAGTTTCGATATCTCAGCTCTGGAAGGGCTAGAGCCTCCATTTTTGCACTCAGGTCTAAGTCTCATGGCCCTCTATCAGAATCCAGAGTTTTGGGAGATTGGAGAAACAAATTTTTCGCCCAAAAAAAAAAAACGTAAGGGGTACCACTGTCGTTTTTTTTTCGGGCCGAATTTTGAGTTTCGATATCTCAGCTCTGGAAGGGGCTAGAGCCTCCATTTTGCACTCAGGTCTAAGTCTCATGGCCCTCTATCAGAATCCAGAGTTTTGGAAGATTGGAGAAAACTTAATTTTTCGCCGAAAAAAAAAAGTAAGGTACCACTGTCGTTTTTTTTTTCGGGCAGAATTTTTGAGTTTCGATATCTCAGCTCTGGAAGGGGCTAGAGCCTCCATTTTTGCACTCAGGTCTAAGTCTCATGGCCCTCTATCAGAATCCAGAGTTTTGGGAAGATAGGAGAAACTTAATTTTTCGCCCGAAAAAAAAGAAAAGAAAAGGGGTACCACTGTCGTTTTTTTTTCGGGTCGAATTTTTGAGTTTCGATATCTCAGCTCTAGAAGGGTCTAGAGCCTCCATTTTTGCACTCAGGTCTAAGTCTCATGGCCCTCTATCAGAATACAGAGTTTTGAGAAGATTGGAGAATCTAAATTTTTCGCCCGAAAAAAAAAAACGAAAGGGGTACCACTGTCGTTTTTCTGTTGGGTCGAATTTTTGAGTTTCGATATCTCAGCTCTGGAAGGGTCTAGAGCCTCCATTTTTGCACTCAGGTCTAAGTCTCATGGCCCTCTATCAGAATCCAGAGTTTTGAGAAGATTGGAGAAACTTAATTTTTCACCCGAAAAAAAAAAAAAAAGAAAAGGGGTACCACTGTCGTTTTTTTTTTCGGGTCGAATTTTTGAGTTTCGATTTCTCAGCTCTAGAAGGGTCTAGAGCCTCCATTTTTGCACTCAGGTCTAAGTCTCATGGCCCTCTATCAGAATCCAGAGTTTTGGGAGGATTGGAGAAACTTAATTTTTCACCCGAAAAAAAAAAGAAAAGGGGTACCACTGTCGTTTTTTTTTTTCGGGTCGAAGTTTTGAGTTTCGATTTCTCAGCTCTAGAAGGGTCTAGAGCCTCCATTTTTGCACTCAGGTCTAAGTCTCATGGCCCTCTATCAGAATACAGAGTTTTGAGAAGATTGGAGAAACTTAATTTTTCGCCCGAAAAAAAACCCGAAAGGGGTACCACTGTCGTTTTTCTTTTGGGTCGAATTTTTGAGTTTCGATATCTCAGCTCTAGAAGGGTCTAAACGGTTCTGTAAGGGATTCGGTCACTCTAAACCCCTCCTTTCCGAGAGCATGCTCTGCTCTGATTGGTCAGATGGCCAAGTCAATGTTTGAGGGGCAAAGTAGACGTTGTTCACGGACATATAGACTGGCATTATGGAAGTAACGATGATATTACTGACGACTTGTTTCAGGCAGTTCAGAAATGTTTCTTTCCTTTGGGAGCAATTTGATCTTTGAAACTTTACAGACCATTTAAACAGCTATATTATACACTACATGAAAGGTAATATCCGAAAAGCATAATAGGGGCACTTTACGATGATTTATTTACAGTTTTGAAGCCACCAAAACAGCCATGTCTAAACTTTGAACACAACTGATTTACACCACAAAACCCATCTTTTGTGTTCCCATCTCTGTTAGAGAGCTCATGCGTTTGTATGCAATGCTGTGGTCCGGCTCGATCCTGTTCACTACAAGGCTTTGATAAGAACGCAGATTGCGTCTTCTGGTTCGAAAGGCCCCTGAGAGCAGAGATGTGCTGGCTCGGCTGCTGCCTGATGGAAATAAGGGCCTATACACCAGAGAGAGAGTTTATTGGGACAGTTCACCAAAGGTACTGTAGTCATCAACAGCAAACTATGTATGCGTATCACTTTTAACGTCTTGAAACGTTTGCAAAGATTATTTTATTTTCCCATTCGTATAACATTCAACATTTTTGTGGATATAGTTGTTCCACATTTTACTAGATTTGTAAGAACAAGCATCAACTGAACAAAAACATAAAGGTTATGGTCCTTTTATGTGTTAAGCAAAAATAAAAGCTCAAGAGTTTAACACGGTTATTTTGCTCAAATAAATCCATAAAAAACATGTTGAAAGTGAAATCTGAAAAACCTAAAACCTATATTATTTCAGCTATCAGCTTTCTTGTTTTCATTTAGTTTAACTTAATTTAGTTTTAGTTTAAAATTAAAAATTAGAAAAACAAACAACAAAATCAATAAAAATACTGTACCTAAAATAAAAAAAAATCACTAGAAAAAGGATGTCAGTGAAACTAAAATAATACTGATTTAATGTTTGAAAATGAAGACTAGGCATATTACTATTGTAGCATGTAGTGTAAAATTAAATCAATATAATTAATAAAAAATAAGTATTTAATTTAAACGTAGAATAGTAATATATTTTCACGTAGTTAGAGTTAAAAAAATAATATACATTATATTATATAACAAATGTGCTGTTATTGAAAATTAGTGAGATATTAACTTAAAATTTAAGGGGGTACTTCAAGAAAACATTTAATCTCAAAGGGGTTCAGTTAAAAATAATAATTTTTAAACTGCAAGAATCGCCAACTGAAAAAAAAGTCACCCGATCGACATGTAAAACAACTTACTGCAGTTTTTATATGATGTTGTTCAGGGGTGGATTACCATGAGAGCAAATTTGAATATTCAGATATGAACGTCCCAGTGTTTAACATTCTTGGAATTCCGCTTGTCCAATTAAATTAGTCAAGTGTATCTAACTGTTGTGTAATGGATGAAGTAAACTCAATACTGTAAATCTATTGTGTAGACAAAGCCATCCACATCATGTTTCATCCTGATGCCAACTATCCTTCAGGGTCAGATAAGGTCACAATTGTGAATCAACTAATTGCGTCAGTGTAAAAACCTTCCAGTAACCTCTCTCGGATTGAATAGGGAGAGATGTGCTGAACTTTGTGGTACGAAACCAACAACATGACCTCCTCCGCAGGACAGCCATGAACAAAGACCATCAGGTCATCAGACTATAATATCATACAACTGAACACGCACTAGGCCTAACAGTCCAGAGAATCCCCGGTATTAAGTGTGTGTATAATCCCTGAGGTGTTTGTCAGGTGGAGTATGTTCACGCCGTATTTCGAGGTGTGTGACTCTGATGGCATCTCAGCCGTGAGGATTCTGGGCTCCTGCTGTAACACACGATGTCTTTCTGAGCAAGAGCTTCAGGTCAGAAACCCTCCAGTAGACCATTTGCATCGCCCAGCTTTTACATACTGCGCCCATTATACTCTTTTCTCATTTATTGGGGCATCAGGTGGTCTCCACTATTGGTGATAGTGTTGGGCGCATATGGAAGAGGTGGCCTGGATATAGTGAGGAATGTAACATGGATCATGAGTATTTTGGACTGGATGGTAAGATTAATACCCACAATCATATTGTGTGGTGTACTTGTGAAAATGTCTTCTATTTTACTTTTCTTTTTCTTTTTTTTACATTACAAAAAATATTTCATCACACATTTCTTTATTTTATAGCATTATGTTTCTGTATTCACTACCATTCAAATGTTTGGAGTTGATAAGAATTTCAATGTTTGAATTTCAATTTCAACGCTTCATTTATTTGATCAAATAATACAGTAAAAACAGTACTGTGAAATATTATCAATGTTGAAAACTGTTGTGGTCTAATAATTTATTTAATATCACCATGCTACTTTTTCAGGATTCATTGATGAATAGAAAAGATAAGGATTTATGATTCCAATAGTCCACTTTAGACATTCATATATAAGTAATTTTGCAACTACATGTCAACAAGCAGCCGTCCGTCCGTCCGTCCATCCATCCATCCGTCTATCTATCTATCTGTCTGGATAGTTTTACTATCTGCCACCCAGATACAAAGCTGATAGAATAATTGTGGTTTCTTTTACAACTAAAATTTATTTTTGATAATAGTGTGACTATTTTGAATTCAGCAGAGCTACAGATTCAGGAGTGACTACTAAAACATCTCTTTCTTCCTCAGTACCTCAAGGAATGAATTTGAACACCAAAGTGCTGTTACTAGCTGCTACCTTCCTGCTGGTAAGCTGCCAACCACACAGATATATTATTAATATGTGACAGCTTTATCATTGATCTTTTTCTGTTTGCAGAATCATATGTTTTTTGAGATGAGCTAAGTGGAAATGGCATAATTATCTTCTGGGACATTAAAGACATCTGCTTCACCTCTAAAATGGAGAGTGAACCCATATAGTAAAACTATGGTGAACACTTAAAAACATGGAGCAGTTTACTGATCCAATCGCATCTGAGCTGGATAGTGTAGTGCACATCAAGAATCCCTGTACAGAGCCTCTCTACACCTCTATAAACAACTAAACACACCAAAATAGCATTAAAATGTTGTCTTTTCTAGCAAGTACAGTACAAGCCCTTTTAATATAATTCTAATGTACAGTTTGTGATTTTGCTCTAAAATCTTTTCATGATTTTAATCAAGTAAACATGTCTAACTTTTTTTGTATTGTTAGTAAATATTTCAAGATGAACACTTACTAGCAAATTAAAAAAAATGTTAAATATGAGTATCAAATATGATGCATTTGGCTTTTGGGGAATGTATGTTTATTTGTATATCTTTAAATTACCGTTGTATTGCATTACATGATATGTTTCACAATTAAAACTACTAATTTTTTACCATAAAACTAAGCATTTAAATAATACTAAATATTTTAGATATATTGTTGAGATATACAGTCTGACAACTATATTGTAAGCATACTGTTATATTGTTATAAAGATTTCATTAATTTACCAGCTAAATTAATTGGCCATATAAATTACAGCAATTGTAACAAATTGCATATGTTGGCTTGGTTTGGGCCTCTGAATAAATTTGAGTTGTTGTTTTTTTTTCTTCTCGAGCTCCATGTTCTCCTATATATCATACATATTATAAATGTTAAATGTTCAATGCACTATATTTGTTTGTTTATAATTTAACACCATGCCAGCTTCCGTGGCTATTTTCATGATGGGAAGTTAAATATGAACAGAAAAAAATAATACTTTTTTTTTGTTCAAAACGTTTGTAAGTTGATATTTGATGATAAAAACAATCTATTACTAAAAAAGTCCTCACTTCATTCAAATATTTCAGATGAATTAACAAAATAGTAAACAGTCCTAGAGGAATTATTGAAAAGCATGAAGTGATGCCAAAATTTTGGACTGGAATGGAGGACTTTCACCCTTTAACAGACTTTTTAGCTTAAAGTGGCCTATTGGTAACAAAAAAATTACTGGACAACAAAATTTACTGGAAAAAATATTTGGGAAAAGACCTGGGGCCTGTACCATGATGGTAGTTAACAAACTCAGGGTTGCAGGATTAGTTGAGTAGACAAAACCAAACCAATCCAACCAGGCGTTGTTGGTACCATGATGCTGATCATCAACTTTCTCTGTCAACTCAGGCTTTGATCCTGAGTTTAGGTGTGACATCAGTAGTGAACAGCCAATCACATGCTGAGAAAGAGTGAAACTTTCTCGTGAGAGAAGTAACGCAATTCGCTTATTAAATAAAAGTATTAAATATTGAGAATTTAAACAAATTTACACAGCAAGAATAGCTGTCTCTATGAAAGAGGACAACTAAAGTCTCGCTACTGTAGTCGTGCAAGTAAAAGATGTGAAGTTAGTTTAGTTGATAAAGGTATAGAGAGAATTGAACTTTTAAGCTCACATGTCATTTTATAGCTTCATTTATTGATTCTAAAGTATATTTATATTACATTTTATATAGCCTACTGTATGTATTTGATTTAAAATCTGCGTAATAATAATTGATGAACTGAAATTGTACATGTGAGATCGTTTAAGGGTATAATAATTACAGAAATAGTTTCTAAATCCTACAAATTTCTTCACTAAAAGCCATGATTTTGTCTTTTTAAAGGACAAGTTCGGTATTTTACGATTAAAGCCCTGTTTTAAGATCGTCCCTGATGAAATAGAATAGTTAAGATTGTTTTTTAGTCAAATGCTCCTGTCACGAGAATTTTTGGATTCTGTGTTAGCACCCCTCCACCTTTATAATGAAAGCATAGTGCACTCGAACAATCATTCATTAAAACGCATAAAACTTTAGTTTTCAAAGACGTGAAACTCACCGAGTGGTCTGGGGTGTTCACTGATATGCTCACACCAAAATCGCTGCAAAATATGCTTTCCAACAGGTTTTATCGTAGTCCATTTTCTTCCTGTTTTTGGTCGAACTTTCTGAAATCAGTTAGCAGTCAAGTTAGCAGCAGTTGGTCTCGATCTAATTACTGTAATATTTTTTAAAATTATATTAGATGCAAGAAGTACCCAACAGAGTCACACCACATGCTGAAAATTAGCAGCAGATGCATAATCAACATTTATTGCTATGATCAATCATACTTAAAAACAACCTTCCCACTTTTTGTCTTTTTTTGATGTACCACAAATACAACTGTCCAGCACTGAATTTCAGGCAGTATAAAACAGGTGTTGATACACAGCCCCCATTATCTCCCACATCAGTGCTTGTTAGTTAGCATGTCTGAATGATTTCTAAAACAGGGCTTGAAGTCCTATCATAGAGTCGTTTCTCCAGTGTCGTCTCCTCCAGCGGATGTTAAGTGATCTCAGTGTTTTGCAAGAGGCGAAGGCCAGGCACAGTGAATCAGGCAGCATGGCACTCATCCCTAGTAGGGCACTGTCCTTTTAGGTTTACACTCACAAACTCCAGAGAAATAAAACGTTTGCCATTATAGATCTCTCCAAATTCGCTTAGAAATATAATTCTTTTTTTTTTTGTACAACAGTTCTATGTTAAAACAACTCAACACTGTAGCTAAAATACTGCACTATAGTAAAATATCCCCAGCCTCATTGGTAAATAACATGACCTAAACGAATTCTGTCTTCCTGCTTGGGCCATCTTCACGAGACTTTATAATTAAGATGATAATTCAGGTAAACGTGACTGTACCACACAAAGGCATGTTGTTTATCTTTTCGGAAAACGGTGGCAGTTTCCAGCCATTAGTTCATGTCACAGTGGCAGAACTATTCGGTCCCGCTCTGATAGCTCAGCCTAATGGCTGACTGGAAAACATTCGTCCGCATGTTGATGATTTGTCTTCATCTCCTTCTGTGAGTGTTTTCAGGTGATGAGGTGTTTGGATGATTATAAAAACACAAGCCAGAAGTCTTCAATAGTAAAAATGTCTCATGCTGACTCTTTTCATGACGTCCCTTTTGTTTTTCCTTTTAAAAACAGATCAATTTCAGGTTATCCTCCTTGGAAATGTCCTCTTCCGTGGGAAAATGAACTCGGTAATCTAGACGAGGAGAAACAAGTGACACTTTTACACAGTGATGAACATGATGGGAGTGAATGTAAAATCTCCTAATGAGAACTGAGCAGTTCCAGTGAGTGATTATGTGTCGTGAGTTTATACCCGTCACACACTCTCCGGATGAAAAACTAGCGGCCTCCACTTGCGTTCACTAGACCATGGAAATCCTCCCAAGCTCTAAAAGATCACACACACAACATAAATTATAGCTGTGCTACCTTTACTGCCATGACTACCATACCGCCATTTCTTTTTTTCCAAGATGGTCGTTTAAATGACGTAAAAAAAAAGCTGTTGCTGAATATTTAAACCTAGTGGGTTTGGTGACTTGTCGCAAATCCAATGATGCTGGTACTGACGATTCTCACATTTTAGTATTGGTACGGCTTGCTTGGAAACTCAACCGAGGTGGTGCTAAAAAAGTAGCAGGTATTAGGTACTGTACACCGTGGAAAACTACACCGCCGTACTATGCAGTGGAAAAGCCCAACACGTTCTCATCCCAGGGCATCATATAGTGGCACTTTTGAAATTTTGTCTAAATCCAACGCACATGGCACCCTTTAGCGTCAATATAACACGTACAGAGCTTTGTTTGGTTATGGTAGGTTTAGTTCTGGGGTAGGTTTAGGGTTAGACCACTAGGAGGCGCCTTCTGGTCCATATCTGCGTCTGATATTGACGCTAAAGGGTGCCATGTGCGTTGGATGTATACGAAATGTCAAAAGCGTCAGTATATGACGCCTTGGGATGAGAATGGGCTGAAAAGCCCCACTCTCCCCATATAACTCTATATTTATTGTAATTGAGAGACTTATAACAGTTTTTACAATTTAATAGTTTATCCATATACACTAACATTCAATAGTTTGTGGTTGATAAGATTTTTTTAATGCTTTTGAAAAAAGTATTATGCTCATCAAGGCTGTATTATATATATATATATATATATATATATATATATATATATATACATATATAAACAGTAATATTTTGAAATATTATTTAAATTTAAAATAACTGTATTCTATTTTAATATATTTTAAATGTAAAATGTTTTAACTGTCATTTATTCCTGTGATGGCAAAGCTGAATTTTCAGCATCATTACTCGTCTTCAGTGTCACATGATCTTTCAGAAATCATTCTAACATGATGATTCGATACTCAAGAAGCATTTCTTCTTATTGTTATCAATGTTTAAAACAGTGCTTTATTATATTTTTTTCCACAAAAACTATAATAAAGAAATGTTTTTCTGGATTCTTTGATGAATATAATTTTTAAAAGAACAGCATTTATTTAAAGGGATACTCCACTTCTTTTGGAAATAGGCCTGTAAACAGAGTTAAACAGTTGAGTTTCACCGTTTTCGAATCTATTCAGCCGATTTTCTGATATTTAGAAGAATATCAGTAACCAGACAGTTTCTGGTCCCATTGACTTTCATATATTTTTTCCTACTATGGAAGTCAATGAGACCAGAAACTGTCTGGTTACTGATATTCTTCTAAATCAGAAAAACGTCTGAATGGATTCGAAAATGGTAAAACTCAACTGTTTTAACTCCGGGAGAGCTGTAAAATGAGCCCATTTCCAAAAAAAAAGTGGAGTATCTCTTTAAAATAGAAATCTTTGGTTTTTCGTTACTGTGGCTTGTTAACCAATTTATCCTTGGTGAATAAAAGCATTACATAAAAAAAAAAAAAAAACAATACAAAAAGTCTGAGCCCACATTTTTAAACTGAAGAGTATAATGTGTGTGTGACTCACTTGATGCTGTCAGTGTGTGTTTTGTACTCCATAATGGTATTAGGAGGAAGGTTGAGGACTCTGCGTAAAGTGTCTCTAATGCGAGCAGTGGTGGCCTGGTCACTAGCTGTCTTATTCCAGATAGAAATGATATCCTCCTTCAAACCAAAACACAGATATTTATTCAATACAGAACATTGCTATTATGATGTGTTTACTGGCGCGAGGACAACCTGTCACTCATGTGAGATGCACAGCAATAGCAAACCACAATGATCCAAGCATACAATCAATTCCCTTCCTACAAAGTAAACTGCAGTACCTGGAAGCGAACGGACACAACGGCCCCACAGATCTCCTCGCCCACCATGAACTGCTCACCCAGCATGGCCAAAATCAGATTCTCCCAGCAGCGTGACGCCAGGCCTTTACGTAGCCGAATGATCCATTTACCTCCACTCTTATTGGCGTCATCCTATATAATACAATAGAAATTCTATTACCTGTCAATAGAAAAGCGGCTTGCGTGCATGTAATCTGACCAAACTCACCTCCCACATGGGTTTGATTCCTTCCTTAAACAAATGGAAATCACTGTGACCAGTCATATCACTCGGTCGGATCATGTGACTATAAAAACGCCAGAACTGCTCCACCTATAAACACAAAACAGCTGTTGAACTGTCAGTCATGTGACCTACAGTAAGGCAGTCTAACTTCAACCCCCACTGTGCCTGACCGTGTCTGAATGTTCATGTGAGTTTTCATGCATGT